CGGGAGAGATTGGAGCGGGAGAGATTGGAGCGGGAGAGATTGGAGCGAGAGAGATTGGAGCGAGAGAGATTGGAGCGAGAGAGATTGGAGCGAGAGAGAGAGAATGGAGAAAGAATTGAGAGAGAGAGAGAACGGAGAGAGAGAGAACGGAGAGAGAGAGAGAACGGAGAGAGAGATTGGAGAGAGAGATTGGAGAAAGAGAGAGAGAGAGAGAGAGAATGGAGATATAGAGAGAATGGAGAGTGAGACGGAGAGTGAGACGGAGAGAGAGAGAGAGGGAGACAGAGAGAATGGAGAGAGAGAGAGGGAGGGAGAGAAAGGGGGCAAGAGAGAGGGCGAGAGAGAGAATGGAGAGAGAGAGAATGGAGAGAGAGAGAGTGCGGGAGAGAATGGAGAGAGCGCGAATGGAGAGACCGCGAATGGAGAGAGCGCGAATGGAGAGAGCGCGAATGGAGAGAGCGCGAATGGAGAGAGCGCGAATGGAGAGAGCGCGAATGGAGAGAGCGCGAGGGGGAGAGAGCGCGAGGGGGAGAGAGCGCGAGGGGGAGAGAGCGCGAGGGGGAGAGAGCGCGAGGGGGAGAGAGCGAGAGAATGGAGAGAGCGAGAGAATGGAGAGAGCGAGAGAATGGACAGAGCGAGAGAGAATGGAGAGAGCGAGAAGGAGAGAAAGAGGAGAGAGAATGGAGAGAGAAAATGAGCGAGAGAGAGAGAGAATGGAGAGAGAGAGAGAATGGAGAGAGAGAGAAAGGGGAGAGACAGAAAGGGGAGAGAGAGAGAGAATGGAGATGGAGATAGGAAAAGAGAGAGGGAGAGACAATGGAGAAATAGAGAGATAGGGAAAGAGAGAGAGAGAATGGAGATATAGAGAGAATGGAGAGAGAGAGTGGAGAGAGAATGGAGAGAGAGAGAGAGGGAGGGAGAGAGAGAATGGAGAGAGTGAGATTGGAGAGAGAGAGAGAAAGGAGAGAGAGAGAGAAAGGAAAGAGACAGAGAATGGAGAGAGAATGGAGAGAGAATGGAGAGAGAATGGAGAGAGAATGGAGAGAGAATGGAGAGAGAATGGAGAGAGAATGGAGAGAGAAGGGAGAGAGAATGGAGAGAGAATGGAGAGAGAATGGAGAGAGAATGGAGAGAGTGAGCGCGAGAGGGAGAGAGTGAGCGCGAGAGGGAGAGAGTGAGCGCGAGAGGGAGAGAGTGAGCGCGAGAGGGAGAGAGAGTGAGATTAGAGAGTGAGATTGGAGAGAGAGATAGGGCAAGAGAGAGAGACAATGGAGATAGAGAGAACAGAGAGAGAATGGAGAGAGAGAATGGAGAGAGAGAATGGAGAGTGAGACGGAGAGAGTGAGACGGAGAGAGTGAGACGGAGAGAGTGAGACGGAGAGAGTGAGACGGAGAGAGTGAGACGGAGAGAGTGAGACGGAGAGAGTGAGAC